TATTCTAGGGGTTTTAGTTTATTTTGATGACTTCATTATTAATGGAAAATTACGAGTAAAGCATAACAAGATTTTAACTTGAGTAATTAAAAATGCTAAAGAGGTGAATGTAAAATTGAATATAAAGTAGCCAATCTCATTTCTTTCTTGAAGCTCAAATGAAGTTTGAAAGGAAAAAAAAAAAAAAGATTAAATCCTATGTTTGCTATTTCAAAATTCCATTATTTTATTTAGTGTTCAGTAGCTGAAGTGCTAACTGACACAAAGCTTTTGCATCTATAATAAATAAAAATGTATCAACTGCAATGTCGTGATTACAATGCATGAAAATAAAATTATGAAAGTATCAGTTAAATTTTTAGTATCTTACTGACAAATATATAGTATATATATATTGCAGATTTATTATTATAATTTATTTCTGAACCCATTACAGAAGTGACAGAAATGATATGCAGTCTAAGTGAGTAGTATTTACTTTACATATCAGTGCAAATAAGAAATGAGTTTGAAAAAGCAACACTAAATGATGATACATGTGTTATTAAGTTTGGGTTTAGAGATGGCCTTCAAATTAGAAAAATGTATCAGTTTAAGCACAGAAATATTTTAAATTTTAAAATATACATACTCAGAGAATAAATATTAGAGTGATAGTACCAATAAATTTTGCACAAAAAAGTTGATTCATAGAGTTTACGTAAGAATGGAGAAAATTAAAGCCAAAGTAGACAAGTGTTTTTTACTTGGAGTGGGACAAGTGTTTTTTACTTTTAGTGGGGATCAATAGAGCTATTAAAACTATTGTTGCTAGATGTAAAGTTTGTAAGAGAATTAGATCTGAAAATGTGAAAAAACAGTTACTCTTCTGTTATCGGGACCGGATTCAGAAATGTATGTATATGTGTAATGTGTATATATATGGATGTGTACATACACATTTGCATACATATGAACATATATGCATGGAAACATTCATTCATACGTACATTGGAAACATTCATTCATACATAAATACATTTCTGAATCTGGTCCTGGTAACAGAAGGGTACCAAAAAATTTTTATAAATCATATTTAAGTAACATATTATTCAGATATTTATGAACGTTAAGATAAAAATTACATAGTAATTAGATGCTACTTCTCAGAATGGCTAGCTCTAATGAAAATTCTGAGGAAATAATGTCAAAATTTCAGAGAATGTGTTAAGTATTTTATCAATTTTATCAAATTAGAATGTATTAAGTATTTAATAAAATATTTCGTAGAACACCTTTACTCTGTACTTGAATGGAGCAAATCTAGAAACATCAGCAAACCTATTTAGCAAAATGAGAGAAACTGTCAAAATTTTCACAAGGTTCACTTATGATAGAGACCTTCCTTTTCATCTTCCATACATCTGGATTCCTATTCTTAGTATTGCAGTAACTCCTTGCAAAACAGCTATAAAAAGAGGCGAACTTTATGAATCCATTCACTTCCCTTCTTTTTTAGCTGTTTAGCATAGGATTGCCGTACTATAGAGAATTGTCATTCAGATGTATAAAAAGATGTCTATTCTGATATGATCTTACTATGCTTTTTAGAGTTTTTGTAAATGTAAGGGCACTTTTATGATTCGAGTAATGTATTAACAACAGTTACTTAGAAGGAAATATAATCAGAGTTGTATTTCTGTAAAATTCGAGCTTCAACCCTGTTCTCTTCAATATCTTTATAAATGACATGTAAAAACTTCTTGACCCCAAAATTTTAAAGAACATTGAAGTTGCTTTAGTGTTGACAAATTCCGTTGATCACAAACATGCTTTCACTTACTAGAAGCTGTTTTTGATATGGTTCAGCACTAATGCCGAGTTTGAAGGATTAAAATTTATCTTCCAAAATGCAACACAGTTTTGTTAAAGACTCATAAAAATACTATTGAAAACCTTATTATCGATAATGAAATCATCCACACTAACAGTATTCTGAAATATATAGTTTTCGTGTAATTGTTTATGGCAAAGCATTCGAGGGCTCTCTGCCTAAGGGAAGAGATGCCTTATTGGAGGACTTTTTAAGGTAGGCTCTTCAACCAGTGGCCCACTGAAGGCATTTTAATGGCCCCACATTTCAATTTGAAGAAAAATTGCAGAATTAAAAAAAATTTTGATTTCAAGAAAAATTGCCTTGTCACCTTTTTGTTGTAAAAAATATTCATTTTTTGTATTATTGAAATTTAAAACATTTTATCGACATGTCTGATATTATTTGAGATAAAATTTTCTAAAAATGACGAGTTTTTTTAAAATTTCACTTTATCTTATGTTAATTAGTAATCTACCAGTTACTAGATTATAGATTAGATAATTATCACTTTATCTTATGTTAAAAATTAAAAATTTGACTACACATAAAATCTCAGTTCCATAAAAAGGGTAGATTCTTATTTCTGTTGTAAAAGTGGTTAATTTCATCTGGTTTAAAGGACTTAAACACAGGCAACACTTTCAACAGTTCTTGAGTAACATGGAAGCTGAATGTGGTGACGTTGTGTATAACGCGGAAGTACGCTGGACAGGATGCTTTGGTGCCTGTTTTCTCTGAAGAGTGAAGTTCAACAATTCATGGAATTTAAAGAGAAATCTATTCACGAGTTCAGTGACGATAAATGGTAGAGAGACTTTGCATTTCTTGTCGATATTACAGGTCATCTCAATAATTTGAACTACCACTTATTAGGAAAAGATCTACTTGTTCATAATTTTTATTACTTTGTGAAAGCTTTTGAGACAAAATTAATCCTGTGGGAAAGTCAATTGCTAAATAAGAATTCCACTCACTTTACAAAATTGATGGTTTGAAGAACTCTCCAACATGGAATTCAAATAATTATGTGCAATGAATTTTAAAATTGAAAGAGGAATTCAAAAGCTGATTTTCCAATTTCTGTGAAAATGAAATTTTCACGAGAATGTCGCCATTTTCAGTAGACGTTGGAAGTTGTTCCACCTGAACTTCAATTACAATTTATAGATTTACAGTATGACTCTGCAGTAAAATGCAAGTTTCTTGAAATTTCTACATTAATTGATTTCTATTTGAAGTACGTAACCGAAGACAAGTATCCAGGAATTCATAAAAATGCACTCTTCATGTTTTCGAACTTTAGCAGTACCTACATATGTGAACAACTTTTTAGTAAATTGAAAATCATAAATTCAAAAACAAGAACACTGCTGACATATAGACATTTGGAGGAAACTTTATGAAATGCAACAACACAAATTAAACCGGATATTTAAGCTTTAATCAAGTAAAAACAATGTCAAATTTCACAGTGAAATTAAAGTAACTACCATCTCCCTCCAGTAATGTAAATTTTTATTATTGTAAATGCATTTTGTAACATCGTTCTGTACAATCATCTTTATACTGTTTTTTTCATAGTTAAAAATTTTGCAAAAGATTTTAATTCGACTTCCATTTGACTTTTTGGAACCAATATATATACAAATGTGTAACTCTTTGCTTAGAATCAATTATAGTCTTGCAAAACAAACCTCCCTTTTTCATATAAATTTTCTGACTACACTATTTTTGACAGACGTGTGGCCCGCAGATCTTTGCAAATTTATTGATGTGGCCCTCGGGCAAGAAAGGTTAAAGACCCCTATTTTAAGGGAAACTGGCTCTCATACATGTTACACATGGGAAAAATCACAAAAATACGTATGCAGCCAGCCCGTTTGCCGGGATTCGAACCCTGGGCTGAACTAGTAATTTTCAGCGACTTTACCGCTTGGGTGCTGGTGGACATTTGAAATATCTGAGTATTATGCTAGAGAGAAAGATTACTTTCAGTTCTTTAGTGAATGAAACCATATGAAAAATGAATGTAGCATTTATAAATGTATAATATGTTATGAGAAAGAATTCAAAGCTTTCCTTTGAAAATAAAAGAAAACTTTTATTTACAATGATTAGGGCAGTTCTGACATATGTCATTCCTACTTAGTCGACTATATCACCTGCTCAAAGGGAAAAGATGTGTTTCACAAAGTAAAAGTTTAGACGGGTTCTTAACGTACTGTAGTTTTTCAGCAACACTCAGATCCATGAAGATTTAATGATTGATTCAATAGACAGCTACATTTCAATAATTATTCATAAATTCTTAAAAGAGTGAAAATTCTGTCTGTGAAAGTATAAAAGATTTAGCTAATTATGATCTGCCAGTTGTCCAGAAAAGACATAATGTCCAGAAAAGACTTTATGTGAAAGATCATATGATCTTTCACAACTCTAATTAATAAGTGACCATTTTTAGCAGCATTTCTACAAATTTGGTGCTGCCTTTCAAATCTTTCTCACTATTTAGATTTAAGACTGTGAAGAAAGTTATCCAGCATCAATTCATATTTTCACTTTGGCAGAACCATGCACATTATCTATTTGTTTTCTAGTGTTTGAAAATTGTATTTAAAATTAAGACCAGCTAACAGCTCCCAGGGACAAGGGACTTATCTATATGTAATCAATTTAAGTTGAATCTATTCATTCAAATTCCAATTGGGGAAACAAACTAGCTGAATGCATAAGCTCTGACCTTGTTTTAATGTAATTTTGTGTCTGAATGAAAAAAGGCTGTTTTATTTTTAACTGTGTGTATAATTTGTTTCTTCAGTATGAAATTATTTTTCAAAATATTTCTAAACCACTTTTACTGATAAAGCTAAGAATTTAAGATTTAATTTTAATCTTTATTGATTATTTGTCTTAATGGAAGAATTAATTTTAAACAGAATGCAGTGATAAATTAATCTGCAATCAATTTCTTGAAGGGGAGCAGAGAAGAAAAAATTCCTTTCTAAAGCTTATCTGCTCCTAATGTTGCATTAGAAGATAGAACCCTCATTGAGCATTGCACAGTTGAATAATTGATACTTTCTGCATGATTTTAAGGAAGAAAAAACTTTCTGTAATAGTATATTATGATATATCTCTTTTATAGTTGCAAGTATTTAAACAAACGGTTTTATGCACTGGCTAAAGATGAAAACCATTGGAGGGAATTATGCAAGCTGTATTGGCTAGAAACTTCGTAAGTATTATCTATCTTCGATACAGCTCTTAAAATTATTTTTTATATCAGATGTGTTTTCATGTTAAAACTTAATATCACTAAATATTTCATTTAATATGAAGAAATTAAATAAGTGGTAAAAAATGAAGTAAGTAGAATTTATTATTCCTAATAAAAAATGTATAATTTTTGTTGTATTTACAAATTCATCTTTTATTCCTTACTGCAACAATATTTCATTAATTACACAAAATACATTTGCTTAAAAATTTAATCCTTGAATTTTCATTTTTTTTACTTTTGTTAAAAGAATTATTTGTCTTTATTGCCTGTTTAGAAATTATATGCATCTCAGTTTTCAACTGTAGTATCAATAACTTATTCCTGTATTAATTTTGTGAATGCTTTTTGTAGTTAAGTTGAAATTTTTAATTTATTAGTGCAAAACGTGTTAGCCCAGAAGGGCTATTAATTTCGCTTTTGCATTTTGTGGCGTTTCACTATAAACAGCGAATCACTTTTTAAATTGTTGCAACCAAATATTAGAGCCCTGTGTTATATTTAAAGAAATTAAATAATGAAGAATCTGCATAAATGTATGTATATTTCTCACATTGTGATAAAACAATGGTACCTGTAAATGGTACCATTGTTTTATCCAAATGAAAATGAAAATCAAATGTTACCAAAATGAAATTAGTAGTCCTTCTGGACAAATTGCTCTTTTGGACTAAATATATTTAAAGTCAATCTCTTATTCAATTTGGGATAAAGAACATGAAAAATATATGCATATAATATTGAATGAACTAAAATTCTACTAAATTTATATTAGGAGATAATATAATCAACATTTCTTTAGTAAATAAATTATTATTATATATATAAGATAAAAAATATGAAACTGTGAATTATACGTTATATTAAATCTGCAACATTAATTTATATAATAATAAATTCAGAAAAAATTGCAGAAAAAATAATTCTGCAACTTATTAAACCCTTCCAGTTTCGAATTTGAATAAGTTGCAGAATTATTTTTTCGGCGGAAATCTTTTGGCTATTGCTTTTAGCACTGATTAAAAACCGTATCCGCCATAACCATGTACACGTCGACTTATCCCAGAATTGCACAAAAATGGCATTGCGCACACTCTTGACTTTATCCATGTACACTGCTATTTTCTCATAAATTACAAAAATTTGCATGAAAATGCAGGAAAATTTTGTGAATCTCCACATGCTCTTTTTACAAAACTACGTATAACACGTAGGGTTGTTGTAAGTAGGGTCTAAAGCCGTAAGTAGGGTTCAACTTATTCAAATTCAAAACCGGAAGGGTTTAATTGCTATTTTATATTTTAAAACAAAATAATATAAAAAACTGTATTAAAATTATCTGTAATTAATAAATGTACATTTTCTTTCTATTCATACTTTTTTACTCAAAGTTACAAATAGTGCCAACCTGGTTGCGATAATACGTAAGTACCGTTAAATGTAAAAAACCATTGTCTCATAATTCCAAATTGTTTGGGTTAAATCCAGTAATGGATGAAAAAGGTTGTTTAAGAATTGGATGTAGATTAGTAAAATCATCATTAGATGTCGATGAAATTCAGCCTATAATATTACCAAATAATTATTTTTCTCATTTAATTATTTTAAACTGTCATGAAAAGGCACTTCATAGTGGTGTAAAATGAAACTTTAAGTGAAAGTAAAGAGGGAAATTTTGGATTTTTTTAAAAGCCTAGACATCTTTGTAAAATCTGTGTTACATTGATTGTAGATTTTGTAAACAAATATAATGTTAAAAGCTGGACAACGAGATATCGGCTCCTCTTCCTGCTGTCCTAGCAGTAGAAAGCTCGACCATTTGAGGTAAAGTGACATAGATTTCACTGGCCCTTTGTATTTAAAAGATGGTACAAAAGTGTATATTTCATTGTTTACCTGTGCAGTGACTCAAGGAGTCCATTTAGAATTGTTATCAAATTTAAGTACAGAGTGTTTTATTCAAGCCTTGCGTAGATTTTTTGCACGTAGAGGTATTTGTAGATTTATTTATTCTGATAATGCTAAGACCTTTAAAACTGCTGATCGTGAATTAAAATATTTGTATAAATTGTGTAAAGATGAAAAGGTTTTTAATTTCCTTGGGAAAAATGGATTTGAATGGAAATTTTTTGTAGAAGGTGCTCCTTGGTGGGGTGGATTTTGGGAATGTTTGGTAAGATCTGTAAAAACTTGTTTAAAATGTAGCTTAGATAAAGCTTCTTTATATTATGAAGAACTGTGTACTGTTTTAGTTGAAGTTGAAACCTTCACCTGAATCTAAACTAGAATCTACAAGATCTCAGTTAATTAAAAGATGCAAGCATAGGCAATTATTATTAGAGCATTTTTGAAAAAGGTTTTATAAGGAATATTTCTTAGTATTAAGATCAGTCATGTTTTCATAAACTCCAAAAAATTCTCCCGTGTTTAAAATGGAATGATGTTGTACTTGTACAAGAAGATAATGTGAAATGCTGTAATTGGAAGTTAGGTAGGATTAAGGAATTATTTCACAGAAGAGATGGTAGAATTAGATTTTGCAAGATTCAGTTGGATAAGGGTGTTGTTAGAAAACCAATTGAAAGACCTTATAATATTGAAGTTCAGTAAAAATGATGCATCCATTTACGGATGCATGGGGGGGTTAAGTTTATGACTACGTATTCTTAGATTGCCAATAGATGGCGGTAGTGTTTGTAAAAAGAAACTGTGATGTCATAATTATGTACATTTATCAGTTCGTCTTTGGTGTTTGTCAATAAACGTTGTGTGGAATAACGCTCTCTGTTTATTACTTTACATTCAATCCAATCTGATTATTGGAGACTTGCATATATTTTGTTGAATCGATATACAGATGGATTCGACATGGAACAATTAAGTTTTAAAAATTTTGTTAAAAGATTTGCTTAGTTTTTTTCTTTTCTGGTCCTTTTCCAGAGTTTTTAATATTGGACGCTGGATAACTTTTGTCTAATGCTCTTACTCATTTCTAAATAGAAGAGAAGCTATTAAATACAAAATATATATATCCAATTGTGATATGATGTCAGTTGTTGGAGCATGACAGCACCAGAGTTTTAGAATTACAGTTCTTTCGTTCATTTTTATTAATATAAATTATTTAAAAAATTATTTAATGTATTTTCCTAAATTTTAAGTTGTTTGTTATGTTTTTATTTGGAAATCAATCCATTTTCATCAGGCCATTTGCCAAAAAACAAAACATTGAATTCAAAATTGATATCACCAAAATATTAAAAACATGTAAAAATTACAACACTAAAATTCAAGTCTTTACAATACTGATAAATTAAGACATAAAAGTAAGTACATTAAGTTTTAATAAATACTCGCTTGTAATACTTTATTTGCTGTCTTTCAATATTAGTTTTGAAATCAAGAACTCTTCCTTGCGAATATAACTTTATGTACTCATTTTGACATAAAAACAAAGTCAGAGTTGCAATGTCTCATTATCATTAAAAGACATCTCCAACTGAAATATTGCCCTTCCACTCTTTGCCTTTGGGGAGACTTGGACTGGACTTTTCTCACTACTTGTCCGATGACATTAGTGTCTACTATGTACTACTCACAACTAGGGGCTGTATAAATTCCCTTTTGTGTTCTCTGAACAACAAAATATATTGAAATATTAGCTCAGAAAAATTTCTTTATACTACCTAGCCTATTCTCTAAAAATTAACAAAGGCAACCCTCTAAAAGTAAAACCTTCAAAGGATCAGTAGTTATTATTGCAATCTCAGTTGAAAGAAGGGTGAAAATCTTTCAAAACTTTACCTCTTTTTGGAAAAGGCTTAGGTTTGTCCAAAAGTAAGCTCCAAAGGCTTTTGGACAAAAAATTTCCAATTCCTTTTCCATGGTGACCACCTAAAAGTAAAGGCTTTAAAATATCATTAGTTATCATTTCAATCCCAGCAGAAAGGGCTCTCAAAGGTTCTTTGGAAAAGTTTTTTTTTACCTTTTGTCCAAAAGTAAGCTCCAATTGGCTTTTGAACAAAAAAAGGCCTTTTCCAACTGTTTTTTTTTTGGGGGGGGGAATCATTGGATAATGTATTTGTTCTTGCACAAGTAAATTCCACTTTGCAGGTTTGTATACATACTTTGCAGGATTTGGCACCCTTAAATTTGGCTGCCTTTGTGTAAAACATTTGCTATGTACCCACCAGGAATGGCCTTGTGAAAATTAAATTATGAAAGGGGGTAACTTTCCAACAGGAAAAATACGAAAATCAAAGTTGAAACAAGCACAATTTAATAATAATAATTAATCCAATCATAACTGATTTTGATCTCAGTATTTCCTGTTGGAAAGTAGCCCTCTTTTTATGATTTAATTTTGATTTAATTACTATCTCTTGATTATTCAGTTACTTTTTCAGCATATGGCACAACATTAATAACATACAACATATTAATTTGAAATTTCTGAGCTTTTATTTATATATTAATTATAAATATGTATTATGTGCTTTTCTTAGTAAAATAACCTCTCAGAGGGTCACTCTATATGAGTATTCTATGTGGCAATCCCGAGGTACTCTAGCTATCCAAGGTATCACCCTCTTGGTGAGATGGGGCTCATGAACTCAGAGCCATAGTGATCATTCTTCTTTTACTTTTCAATTCTCTTCATCTGTTCATTTTCCATTTTTTCCTTCCTTGTTGTTTTCCTTTTTCAGAGGTTGGGACTCAAAATTTCCATCGCTTTGTTTCTAGTTTCTTGTGGGAAAAAAACTGTGTATGCATTTGTTGGGTGTTATCACACATGAGTTTGGGAAGGAGGGTTCTGATTATTGAGGAACGAGGTACTGTCCCCAATACACTGCTTTGGCCTCTTCCATTTTAGTGAAACTTCCTCTTCATCATTAGGCTTTGAGAATTTGTTCAAAAGCCTTCAGGACATCTTGTGGTCAGAGCCTATGTGTTGATTATTATGAACCATCACTTCAGTTAGGACGCTAACATTATCCTAACCAGATCAAAAAAGAGATGTTACACTTGTGCTTTACAAAAGGAAACTGCAATAAAATAAATTTAAAAAACATGTAAAATTTTTTGTGGGTGCGTTTCATACTTAAATTTAGTAACAATTATTACATAACATACATTTTCTCAAAATATTAAAAATATTAATTTAATAAAAATACAATTGTTTAGAAGGGAGCAGAAAATGGCTCACTTATGTGATGGGACACTACGTACTATGCAACAAAAATCGTTTGAAGTAAGCAATAAAAATATCTTTTGGGGTATTTATTTTTACTTAAAAGCAATTGCCAATAATTTATAAAATCGTCTGCAGTATTTCTCTCCAGTTTGTTTTGGAATTTTTGTGTTTTTTAGCTCTGTGCAGCTATGAATGCTAAACGAAAAGAAACTTTGCCTTGAATTCGAAAATTAGTTATTAATTTGCATATTGAACGTGGAAAATCTATAAGAGAAACTACTGAAACAGTTACTTCAGTCATTCAACAGTTTTCAATATCATTAAACGATATAAAAAGAATCATATGATTCGGGATAAAAGAAGACCTGGCTGACCATCAAAGCTATCCAATGGAATAAAGCGAATTATCGTTCGAAATATTTAAAAAAAATCCAAGAATAAGTGCTCTTAAAGTTGCTGCTGATTTACAAGCATTATATGGAGTAATTGTTAATTCTGAGACTATTAGAAGAGTAATTCGATCTACTGGATATCACGGTAGAGCAGCCAGGAAAAAATTCTTCGTAAGTGAAAAGAATAGAAAACTCAGACTGGCTTTCGCAAAATCCAACATAAATAAGAATTCTGATTACTGGAATGAAGTTATATTTGCTGATGAGATTAAATTTAATATATTTGGTTCTGACGGTAGAATCTTGGGGTGGAGAAAACCCAGGGAAGAATTTCGCAAACAGAATTTGGTGCCAACAGTAAAACATGGTGGAGGAGGAGTTATGGTATGGGGGTGTATGTCGTTCGCTGGAGTTGGTAATCTTGTTTTTATTGACAGTATAATGGATCAGTATAAGTATATTGACATTTTAAATCAAAATTTGAAATCTTCAGCACGATAATTGAACCTTCATAACGATTTTAAATTCTACCAGGACAATGACCCCAAGAACAGTGCTTTGAACATTAGACTCTGGCTGCTGTATAACTGTCCTGAAATAATAAAAACACCCCCACAATCTCCACAATTAAATCCCATAGAGAATATTTGGCAAGAATTGGAATCAAGAATTCGCAAACACACCATTTCTTCAAAACAACAATTAAAATCGGTGCTTCAAGAAGAATGGGTTAAAATCACTCCAGAAATCACAAAAAAAAAATTAGTCGAATCCATCCCAAGAAGATTAAATCAAGTTTTAAAAGTAAAAGGAAATCCAACACAAATATTAAAACCTTTTAAAAAGTAAAATTTTTGGATAAATATTTGATGGAAAAGTAAGTGTCCCATCACTTATGTGAGCCATTTTCTGCTCTGTTCTAAACAATTGTATTTTTATTAAATTAATATTTTAATATTTTGAGAAAATGTATGTTATGTAATAATCGTTACTAAATTTAAGTATGAAACACACCCACAAAAAATTTTACATGTTTTTTTAAATTAATTTTATTGCAGTTTCCTTTTGTAAAGCACAAGTGTCCCATCACTTTTTTGAGACACTGTATGTGCTTGATGATTTTTATAATTTATTATTTGCAGCAGGGCCTCTATATACTTCTGTTCTTTAAAGGAGAACTTTAATAGAAAGAGCTCGGCTTTTAATAGAAAAGTATGACATTGCTGATGTGAAAGCCGAGTTGTAAAGTATCTCGAAATCTCACTGTGGGACAACTTGGAAATTTGACTTCTGGATATCTTCCATCATCTTGTTAAGAGCAATACTAACGTGTTAATATGCAGGCAGATTTTTCTTGAACATGGATGAATACAGTGCTTTTATTCCCATATATATAAATAAATAGTTGAAGATCAGTTGGTCATCTAGCAGCGTCATTTGCAAGAGACCATACTGAGGTCAAAGGATTGTACAATGCCTGCTCTGTATTTAGTGCTGAATTGGCTGCTGTATATTCTGCTCTTACTTTCATCTCTAAGCAATTCCAGAAAAGGTTTATAATTTATGACAATTCTTGTTGTAAAAGCTTTTGATAGTTTTTCTTATACTCAGAATCCACTACTAGTTTATGTTCTTAGAATATATAAAGAATTAAAGAGCCATTTGTACGAGATTTTATACTGAAGGGTCCCTGAACATGTAAGTATAAAAGTAAATGAGCTAGCAAACAGAACAGCAAAGCCTGCAATTCTTTTGTCTATTCATCTTGTAACTTATTGTGATATCAAAAAGGCTATCATGCAGAGGATCCTAAATACATGGCAACTATTCTGGGCTTATCTCCTTCTGAATAAGTTGAGAAGTGTCAGATCAAAAGTAGAGTACAGGGAGACCACTAAAAGCCAGAGGGAGAAAGGGTTGTTAACCCATTTAATAACTGGTCACTCTCAAGTCACACACAATTACCTTTTGAAGACCAAAAAGTGAACCTGTATGTTCAAACTGTAATAGTGTTCTATCCATGTATCACTTTTTAATTGACTGTCCATATTTTAGCAAACTTTGATTGAAGTAATTTAGTGGGTGTGATTTACATTTTGAATTATTATTGGGAAAGAGGTAAACAGCAATTTGTTTCTGTTCCTAAAAGAGACAAGTTTTTATTATTTAATTTGCTTCTGATTTGAAGTTTTTTATTGGTCTTTTAATACTATGTATTTTATTTATTTACTTATTTATTTTTTAAGCTCAAATGGGCATTAGTTCAGAAGGGCTATTAGTCTCGAAACAGCATTTTGTATAAAATCTTCAAATGCGTTGAATTCAAATTGTTGCCATCAAATATTGTCGCCCTGTATTATATTAAAAAAATTTAGTAATGAAAATGTGCATGAATGTATGTATGTTTCTCGCATAATGAAAAAACAACAGTTCCTAGAACCTTCAAATTTTGAACATTGTAGTCCTCCACCTGAATATGGCCACCCTGAGGTCAAAATTTTGAATTTGTTTTATTATCTATTTCATGTTTAGTGAAACTTAAAAAATTTTTTTGATTAAGAAAACTCAAGGATTTCAAAGCAAGTAGTAGCAACACTGTATGGAATAAAACATTTTTATTTCCAGCATGTGAGAGGAATTGGAAATTCTATAGATATGTTATTTTAAAATATTTTTAGCCCAAATCCTCTCGAAATGTGTATTTGTGTGTAAATGGGGGGGGGGGGGGGGAACACCACTCATTTGGGCATAACATAAAATCTGAAAGTTTTCAGAATTAAAAAAAAAATTTTTTTTAGTCTGGTTTTGAATCTTAAATCATTATTTGTGTTCATTTGGATGCTTATATGTTATGCAAGACTAGATTGTATAACATATAAGCATCCAAATGAGTATCCAAGTGATATTTATATGTCCTGTATACTTATATAGTGTTTTGGATACTTGTATGTTATGCAGGTTAGTGTGAAAGATAATTGCCTTCTCCAATAATTAATGGTTGAATTTGATGCCAATTGGTAAATATCTCTATTTAACATCTTTTACAGACATCCCTGTTCTTACAAGAAATACATTTTGCATGCCGTAGACAAACTGAAAATACATTTTGATTGATTAAAGTCTGTTATCAGTTTTTAGTTTGGCAAGGAGTGAGAAGAAGGCTACTGAACATTTAGAGATCAATGAGCTATCACTCAGCATTGCCTTGAGTCATAGTTAGCAGAATTTATGTAATGCCAATATGTAGGAAAAGAAAACCCTTTCAGAGCCATATTAACAGCAGTTGTAGATACATGGCTACCAGAAGCTATGTGCAAAAAATAAATGTAAGTAAGAAGATCTGTGCTAGAAATAAATAATTTTGAGATTACTGCAAGAAATAGTGTTTTAAGGGAATACTATTGCATAATTCACCCAAGTCACAATTGTTGGCGATTAATTTTTTGCCAACCTAGCATGTAAAAAACAGTAGCCATTTTAACAAATGGTGGCACACTGAATATTATATAAAATAGCAATGAATTAAATAAAATTATAAATGCAAGAAGCATATATAATAAAACAGTAAATATTACATAAAGCAAACATCCGTAACAAAACTCTCAAATTTCATAAAACAGTATGAAATTAAATTAAAAATGTAGCAAACACCCATAAAAAAATATTTGATTTTTATTTTTTATTTTTTTTTTTTTTTTTTTTTTTTTTTTGATCCAGTTCACATGCACGGTGATCTGTTTTAACTTACAGAACTCTTGATATTACGGAGCAAACTGGCACTGAATTCCATGTAGACATCGACCTGATTTAACTTTACAAAAAATCTAACAGTTGCATAGAGAAAATTATTATTATAATCACCTTAGAACAGTTCATAAACTACTTTTGACTTGCAAGATTTCTATAATAATGTAATATCAGAGATAAAGTAAAGCTATCTATATGCATCATTTTATATGCATTGAGTTAATGTAACAGTGATAATGAAAATTAATCTGGACAATATTTACATTTTAACTGCTGGTAGATACTGTTTAATTATCAGCTTTAACCCCTTAACTGCCGCAGAAAACGTACAAGATTCATTTCCCAGTGCCACGGTTTTCACACAGACGTGCGTAGTTATGCGATGTATTAGGGGGAAAATAAGTGCAAGTTTTACTTTCTAAAATCTGTTTACTTTCACAAAATAAAGAATAAAAGAAAAAAATGAATGCACAAAACTTAATGTTTTGAGTAAAAGTATAATAAAAGATGTAAGTATAATAAAAATGATTTTTTATAATAAAAAAGATCCCTAAAATGGAGTTTCGATCAATTCATTTTTAGACCAGTAAAGTGCAATATCAGGTTTCAGTGTTATATCTTGTGAAATCAGTATGCCTAAAAAAACATATATTTCTTCTGAACTGGTTGAATGCCACGATTTTGTTCTTGATTTTTTGTTTGCAAGGTGCTGGTTTGTATACTCATCTACAAAATGGTTAGTTTCAGTAATAATATGAAGCACAAGCAGTTCTTCAAAAAATAATTCAAAAAAGATAAATGGGTTTGAAACATCCATTATATATTTCTTTATTCCTGGAACCTACTACAAAATGTAAATGAAAACGGAGGACACAGAATAAAAAAAAAGTACATTTTACTCAAACAACACCAGCCAATACTGTGCAGTCATTATTTTCATCACTTTAGACACACCTATCTCTCCAATTTCTCTGAAATATTATCATCCTTCTCATACTTTTTCAAGGTCATTGTGGTGTTGCATTAAAAGCTTTGCGAATAATTTTGCGGGTAGCAGCACAAAGCAAATGATAGTAGTTTGGAAGGGCGTATATATACACCCATGGCAGTTAACGCATCGGCTGAGCAAGGCGTATATATACGCCCGTGGCAGTTAAGGGGTTAAAATCTCTTAAAACTGGTTTTTTTACTTTCCTTCCAGACATTATCTCCAAAGAATTCCCCAATATAACTTGGACAATTTGATCATTTGTAAAATACAACTTCACAGGATGTACATTTCTACACTCAGCTGCTACTAGACAAAATACCTTTTTTCTGAAATAATCCAGCATTTTCTTTTTTATTATTAGGCAAACTCCACAGCTGCAGTCTGATTCATTTTAGGAAAAAAAAAAAAAGATCTAATCTCTAGCAGAAATCACAAACAAAACCCTCAAACTCCAAAATCACACATTGGGTGACATAGTGCTTTGCCCGTTGATTCTTGTCATTGGTTGTGCGGATATTGCAATAGTTCCAAAACTGTATATTTTATTTTTCCTATTTGTTTAAAAATTCTTTCCTTTAATACTTATTTTAAATATGAAATTCCAGATGTCCTCTTGGCCGAACATGGGAAGAACATTTTGCATATTGGTACAGTGACATGGGGCTGTATATTGATTGTTATGCTAATTTGAAAAGAACTTGGGAAAAAATTGTTACATTTTTCAAAATCAATTGTCCTCAGATATATCAAACCATTAAAAGTATGTATTATTTTTTAAAATTTTTCTGATAATTGTAATCTGATTTCTTTTTATATGCATTTTTGTCGTACCTTCTTTATTTTAACTTATTTCTTATTAACTTCTTTATTTTAATATTTAAAATTTTTATGCATTTTTATTTCTACATTAAAGATAGAATTTGATTATAACACAGAATAGTCCGACATCAAAAGTCTTGAAAAGTATGTCTCCTTCTTGATATTCTGTTGTATTGGGTATTCCATATTATCTGTAGTTCGGAGCAGTGAGAGGGGGAAAAAATGCCACAAGTTTTTTTAAATTTAAGTTTTGAAAGGCAAGCAGAGTAATAATAGCCCATAACATAGCCAGAATCTGGCAGTTCAAACAGTGCCTGTACTGTCTTCCCACACATTTGCATGATCATTTAATGCTGGTGTAACTAAATATAGAAAAATTTAATGCAGAACCAATATATTCTCAGGTTACAGGAAGCTCCTTACTTCATTTTGTTGGTTCATAAGTATATTGGTAGAGAATCTTGCTTGCTAGTGGGCAGGTAGTATTTGACTTATCTTGGTTTTTGTAATTTATTCTTTAAAATATCTTCCATGCTTGTTTTCTAGCATTTATCCTGTTTTAATCAATAACTCATAATTCTAGCTGTTTTGCTATGTAAAATTTTACTTACTAGAACAATGGTACACAAACTACTTTTTTTTTTCCAGCTTCCCATTTTGTGTAAAATTTTGTCATGAGCCCTGAATAGACAGTAGACTTTCTTTCAGAAATTTTTGCTTATGTTTCTGCCTTATTAGCGGACTTAATAAAGCACATAATTTTATGAGGTAGTGGTTGTATTTATGCATATGGATATTTTTTAGTGAAAAAGTCATGTTAATATTTTTTAGTGAAAAATGCTTTTGAAAAACTTTCTATCATAAGAATTTAGTGTGAGTTATGTGCTTGCAAAGAGCTCATTCATGGCTGCTTCTGTGTTTGGATTTGTGCTGGAAATTACAAGCCAGAAATCTTCTTCTGGATCCACTCAAGGCATGTTTTGTTTTAATGGAATTTAATTTTATAAATCCAGTTTCACATAAGTAGGTCAATGCAAACTGAATGAAAATATTAATTACCTTTTCCTTCAAATTGGCATTATGGTTCCCAATCAATAACCAAAATATTTAGCAAGTCGGAGACATACAGTGGTAGCCAAAATTGTGGACACTTTTGGAAATTTTTGTTTTTGAACTTTGTGTGCTTATAGAAAACGTTACGTTTCACAAAATGCAAACTTGTATATATCATTTTAAAGAGAATTTATTACTGAATTCATTACAAAACACAAAATTCAATTATTTGCAATACAAAAAAAGTTAAACGATAATAGTCATTGATATACATTAGATAGTGATGATTGCAGTGAGTTATCAGTACTTAGTAGGGTACCCTTTATTTTTGATTATAGCTTCACATTGACGTTTCATCGAGCTGACAAGAGTTTTAAGCTCTTCTTTCGTTATTACATGATGCCAGGAAATAATTAAAGCCTCAATTAGTTCCCTTTTATTTGATGGGCATCTCATTCAGACAAGAGTTTTCAAACTGTGCCACAAATTTTCGATAGGATTGAGGTCAGGGCTGTTTCCTGGCCATGAAAACAATTTAACTCTCTTTGTACGAAACCACTCAGATATTTTGGCCATGTGGCAAGGAGCAGAATCCTGCTGAAAAATAAACGAAGCATTATTGGGAAAGAGATCTCTGTTGGAAAGTAAAAGTTTTGGTTCTAGAATAGTGTCAATGTATTTTCTGGCGTTCAGTGTCCCATTGATGACATGAAGGTGACCAATACCATCTGCTGACATGCATGACCAAATCATAACACTAACTGGGTTCTTCACAGTTGCTTGAATGCAGTTAGGATGTAGCTCTTCTCCTATTCTATGTCTTACATATTTTCTCCCATCACTACCGAATAATGATATCTTAGTTTCATCACTCCATAGAACTTGTGACCACTGATCATCTGTCCAATTAATGTGTTCCTTTGCCCACTGTAGTCTTTCTTTTTTTCGTTGCTGAAAATTAAGATAAGGCTTTTTTCGTGGAATTCTACCTCTCAGTCCAATATCTGTTAATCTTCTCCTGATTGTTCTTGAACTGACAGAAACACCAGCATCATTCAGATCACTTCTGATGGCCACTGATGACATTTTTCTATCTTGGAGACATAGTCTTTTTATTCTTCTGTCATCAATAGATGTGGTGCACCTTTTTCGGCATTTTCCTTCCTTGTTTTTTATTGAATTTGTCTCCTGATATAGTAAACAAAACTTTCGGACTCCAGATGTAGTCACTGAACCACCCACCTGTCTTGCAATTTCAGCATAGGAAAGACCACTTTCTTGTAACATGATAATATTACATCTCTTTCTAGGTGCCCAATCTACTCTTTTATTTGATGTCATTGCTTCTTGACTAAATATTAAAAATTTTTACAAAAATTCCTACTTGTAATTACAGTGTATAAGAAACAGGTCCTCATTCTACAGAACAAAGCAAAATAATGAATTGTTTTAAGTGTAAACATGATGTCAGCTTCTACTGGCAGTTACTAACATTTGATTGGTACTCAGAACAAGAACAGTGATTGGCCAGGAAAGCTAGACGTTTACAAACCACTTCATAACTGTATTTTTTATTTATATTAAAGTACATATAACTTTTTTTGTATTGCGAATAATTTAATTTTGTGTTTTGTATTGAATTCAGTAATAAATTCTCTTTAAAATGATATATACAAGTTTGCATTTTGCGAAACGTAACATTTTCTATAAGCATACAAAGTTCAAAAACATAAAAATTTCCAAAAGTGTCCACAATTTTGGCCAATTTAAGTTTTCTTAAAAGAATTCTGCTTTTAGGAAAAATGCACAAATAATTTGAAAAAAAAAATTAGTAAATTTTATAAAATTATTAAAAAAAGTATAAAAAATTATTATTAAAAAAGTATAAAAGTATTATTAAAAAAGTATAAAAGTATTATTAAAAATTAAAGTAAAGATATTCTTAATATATAGTAAAGATATTCTTTGATTTATTATTACATATTTATCACGGTAACATACATTTTTTGCATGTAATCGTTATAATTCAGCTTAATGTGATGTTAGTATTTTCCACATCAAATTTTTTATTCATCATGATTATCAAAATGTTAGTGCAATAAAACTTTCTTCTGTGTTTCCCCTACAAATTGTAATTTGAATGCACAGTGTTTTGTCTGGTTATAAAAATAGGTTGCCATATATTAAGAAGTTCGCCAAGTGAACTATTCTTGGCGAAAACTGATAAAAAGCGCCAACATAAATTTGTGAATTTCTCCATAAATTTCGCCCCAACTTTTACAAAATTTCATATTTAGGCATAAATTGAGTCGTAGAATCGAAATATGGAAAAAAATTGGTATGTTATTTCAGAAAAGGTCCGATTTCATGTCAAATATTTATGTTAGAATAGAGCTATATATAAATCTGATATATATCCTAAGTCGCGCTTTCGAGACATGAAGAACGCAATTTGAATTTTGTCAATCAGCCCAATAGAACGGGAGATAAAGAACTGTCCACCCTGTTTTTTCCCCGCAGTGTACACATGTATGTCTGTGTATAACACACTCACAGCGACACATAGGCTTAACATCTCCATTTGTCAGTCAGTCCTTACCATCAACCATCTTAGCAGATCTTTAAGGCAAGCATCTAAGGTAATGAGTAAATACTGCAGAGCAAAATAAAGGAAAAGGCTGAAACAAAGGTTGTAAGGTTCAATGAAAAGGAAACAAAATGTAAAATAACTTAATTATTTATGAAGGTAAATCTTCAAAATATTAGCATCCATTGATTGAGAGAAAAAGAGCAGTTGCTTTGAGGTGTTATGAATGATTCAGATTTGTTTGAACAGTCAAACTGAAATACTACTACATAATACAAATATAATGCTTAGTATATATATGTAATGCAATAAAAGAACAAAGAACATGAGGTGTAGTTATTGTGTTCAGTATTGTGTTAGGTATCTGCTTTACTTTGGTAAGGTTCCAAAAGTACAGGCCAATGGAATTTATGTAAAATATCTCAAAAAGAGATGCACAAATTTTCCTTTTCTTAAGAAAATGAAATGAAAAGCATAAATATTCAGTATGCATTTTATGGATCAGTAAGCATGCAAAGGGTTTATCCTTTCGCAATAGATGATGAAATAATAAATATTTTTTTAAGTGTAAGAAAAAGTTCTTTAGATGATTATTATTTTGTAGAATTTACATATCATATAAATTTATATGTATACCCAATATTTAATCTGCATTATTTTCTCCGATGATAAAAATTTTTTTTAATAAAAACCTTTAGTTATTCTAATAATTTTGAAACTTTGTAAAATTAAAAAAAATCATTATGTATTTTATTTGGATGCTGCCTGGTAATTACTCCAGAAGTGATCAAGAATTATCAGTCCTTTGACATTTCCTGGTCACTGATAAAATTGTAATTCTTTAAACTACACATGTATTTACTTAGCAGTAAACGTTTTATTGTATTGAAACTGAGCAGTGCTTATTTTTTGCCAAAATTAGATGTATTAAATTTGATTATTTTTACAATGAATGGATATTGATTTTTGAACAAGCATTAATCCTATGTAACCAGCATCTTTTATTATTAAAATCTAAGTTTTGAAAAACTGAAGTAAAATTAATTTATCATCATAAAGTTGGCAATGAAGGTAAGTTATTGCATTTTTTAATTTTCCTTCTCCATGATGAATACATTATAAGAATATATATATATATACAGGGTTATCCAAATTAAACTTCCCCAACTCAGAGGCCTGTGCAGAGTGTTGTGTGGGGTCATAATGTGATGAAATTTTAAAAACAGACACTTAAGATCATGAGCTCGAGATTTATTAAACAAAAAAAATTAGTACAAGAAGTTGCCGACATGTGGCAACAAGACATTCTGCAGATGTCAACAAGAGTATTGTGGTTCTCCACAACTCTTTCCATTCACAAAGCAGTGTATTCCACAGTGGAACGCAGTAAGTCCACATTAATTCCACGAACATGTCGAATAATTGCCTCTTTCAGATGTGTCAAGGTTGCTGGGTGTTCTAGACCCGATCCTTTAAGAATCCCCATAACCAGAAGTCGCATGGCGTGAGATCAGGCGAGCGGGGAGGCCAAGTTGTAGGGAAACAGCGGCTGATCACAGGTGCATCGGTAAAAGTTGCCTGTAACACCTGTTGAACGCCACGAAGAATATGGCGAGGTGCACCATCCTGCATAGGTATCGTGTCCTGGACGCGGCCACGTTGTTGCAGTTCAGGGATCGAAACGTTGTCAACATGTCCTGATACCGTTTTCCTGTGACAGAGCAGGTTTCGAACCCTGTTGGAGTCACCTCTTCAAAAAAAAAAAAAAAAAAAAAAAAAAAAAGGCCCAATGACGAATGATGCAGTGAAACCGCACCATACAGTAACCTTTGGAGGGTTCAAGGGCCCTTGATGGATTGCGCGCGAGTTTTCAGTTGGCCAAATGCGACTGTTGTGTGTATTCGCTTGACCATTCAGGTGAAAATGGGCCTCATCCGTCCAAAGGATGTTCCACGGCCAAGCAGCATCGACTTCCATTCTGGCAAGGAACTGCAACGAAAATGTTTCCCGAACTACAGGATTCCCGTTGGACAGCTGATGGCGACTATGGATTTTGTAAGGAAAATAACCGAAGATTCGACGCATCACACGCCAGACGGTCTGATAGGGCCATATTCAACATTACGAGAAACAGTTGGCACCACTGACAACACCATATGGCGATTGGCTAGTGGTATCCACGATAGCCAAAGCAATGTCTTCTACGCGTGCAGATTCCACAACCTGTTGTCCTCTACCTGGTAAAATTCCCAGCTGTCCCGTTCTTTCGAACTTCTTCATCATGTCTCGTAGAGCGCATGGTGTCATTGGTCCTCGGCGTAAGATCTTCAGCCAACGGAATGCTCTTATCGCGTAGCACAGGAGTTCTCGTCATTCTGGTAGGAAAAGTTTCACTAATAGAGCTTTGTCTTTCAAATGTCGCCATTGTACATCAGCGAGCTGGAAAAAACTGCCTGTGCAAGGCCTGTCTTCCACTTTTGTAGGGCTCGTCTTTTGGATACGTTGTGCAGAAGCTTTATTTCTGCAAATCACATTGCTGCAATATGCACATTACTAGTGTTACAGCACCACCTATCGGCAACTTCTTGTACTAATTTTTTTGTGTAATAAATCTCGAGCGCATGATCTGAAGTGTCTGTTTTTAAAATTTTATCACATTATGATCCATACAACACTCTGCACAGGCCTCTGAGTTGGGGAAGTTTAATTTGGATAACCCTGTATATATATCCAGAATGCATCTATAGAAAATATACACATGTGGATATTGGCGTCTTCAAAATACTTCCTTTTTTCATCTGTGCACTGATTAGAAAGAATTTTCTGGAATTCTCATCTCAGAAAGAAGGCCTGTAACTCAATTTCTCAGTTACTATTTAGCACCTGTCTTGTACTTTACTATATATCAGTTATATAAGAAAATCTTCATCCATTCAAAGCAGCTCATGATCAGGAAAACTAGAGATTTTTGATTATAGAGATATTGCTTATTTAACTGCAATTACTTAATTAAATTGGGAGATTAAACTGAAAATTGGAATTGAAATTTGCATTTAAATTAAAAATTGGAAATATGTATATTTTATTAGGTGGAGTATCAGAAGAGGATTTAGATGTTGTTGAAGAAGGATTAGGACTAAATCAAAAACTGCCCATTGACATGAGGTGTAGTTATCGTATCCACAATGGCCAACGATTAACCTCCCCTGGGTAACATGTATTTTTGTCTCTTAGGTATAATTTGAAACATTTTTATGTAACAAATTTGTGTTTTATTGCCTTTTATTTATTTTATTCTTATCTTTTAAGGATTATGGGTAGCATGAGCATTCCAGGTCATTATAAAAGTGAATCCTTGCTAGATCTTGATACTATACTTGTTGGATTCAGAGTAAGAACAGTTTGTTTAAAAATTATGTGCATTTTAATGTCATACATTGAATCAGTTGTAGTTTATATAATTACTTATTTAACAAATTATATGACAAATATATTTAAAATATATTTGATTATACTTTAGTTTTAATGCTAGCTTTACTGAATATATATAAGTTTGAGTTCAAAAGGAGTATAAATCATATTTATCCTGTCTGAAGTAAAAGGTGTAAGGAAAAGATTAAAGGTCTTAAAATTAAAAGTGAAAATTTTTTTAAGATTTTTGTACAGGAAGTTAAAACTGGTTATAATAGTGGTAAAATCATTAAAATTAAAATTAGCATAATAAAAGCAATGAAAAATTAATAATAAAAGGAGCAATGCAAAATGAAAAATTATAAAAATAAAAGATTATGTGTGTAGTTTAATTGAAAGAAATATCTTTGCATGTTTATTGGCTTAACTAAATTGAAAATTGATAATAACAGTCTGATCTTTCTTGGTGCTTTTTATCTAATTCTGAGTTTATTTTCACTTTTTAAATAATACTTTCAGTTATTTTTTATTGATCTTTAAATTTTGATAAAAATTTAAATGTTTTGAAAAATATTTGTTAAAAAAATCATCATATAAGTTAAGGTTAATAATACTTTATAAGTAGCACATTATAAGAGATTCTGAAAGATATTGCTGCTAAGGATGTTAATGTCAAATTTATCACGTATAATAGGAACTTTCTGAAAGATATTGCTACTAAGATTGTTAATGTCAAATTTATGATGTATAATAGGAACTGATAAAAAAAGTATTTTGTCTCTGAACTTATTCTCTTGCAATTTTATTTAGTTAAAACATAAGATTTGTTATTTGATCATTTTATTCCTTGATTTTAAACAAAAATATTCCTTTGATTATTTTTTATGAAATTTTTCTGCGTTTTCCCGTGTGACTAATATCTGTTGCATTCTGATACACAAGATTCTAATTGATTTTAGCAATGGGTTATATATTGTTAAAATCAGGCTTATGTAACTGTTTTCTATTTTTAGGTGTAGTGTTTTTTTCTTAAAGATTTATTATTTATATTTAAGAGTGAATCCTAGCTGCATACCCTTCATCCTATCAATATGTTTCTTACTCAGTATGCTTTATGTGTCTTGACTTATTGAGAAAACCAACATTGAATTTATTCTATTGGAATTCTTATGTTCTTCACAGAAATTTTTATTAATTTGCTAGTGAAATAATTTATGTTATTACATGTAATGTTGAAAGTATGAGGTATATCCAGAAAGCTTAGTATAAAAGTTTTCTTAAAAGAATTCTGCTTTTAGGAAAAATACACAAATAATTTGCAAAAAAAAAAAAAAAAAAAAAAAATTAAGTAAATTTTATATAATTTTAAGATATTTAGTCTAACTGTTGTTATTATTACATATTTATCATGGTAACATACATTTTTTGCATGTAATCATTATAATTCAGTTTACTGTGATGTTAGTATTTTCCACATCAAATTTTTTATTCATCATGATCATCAAAATGTTAGTGCAATAAAACCTTCTTCAGTGTTTCCCCTACAAAGTGTAATTTTATGGGGCAGTTAATAAGTTTCCATTCATAAAAATTTGAAATTGATGTTGCAGTATAAGGTTATGTTATTGTCAAATAAAAAAATATATTAGTGCTAAAAAATCTATGTGATTTTTTTTTTTTTTTTTTTTTTAAATTCTTGGTAAATGTATGTATAATATTACAGAAAGACACTTAAGGGTTCTGTCACCATCAAATGTGCCAAGCACATTTGATGGTTTTTTTGTTTAATTGATGTGTGTGTAAACATACACTCATTTATGGACTGAGTACATATTACCATCCCTGATTTCAAAGGTATAAATTTAATGCTAAAAAAACTACTAATAAACAGTTGTATAAGCTCACTAAGTTTTAGTGACGCTTATTTGAATTTCAAACATTCAATGTCCATGCCACCTGTAACACAGGAAACACTGAGGTTGTAATCCAGCTCCGAACACACATTCTCAATATGTCTAGTGTGATGAAGTTGAGAGTAGAGTTTATGTATTCGTGAAGGTTGTTGAGTGTTGCAAATAATGGAGATACATGTAAATTCCCATGGATAAAAGTCACAAACTGTCAGGTCATTTTATGTGCAACTCCTCTCAAGATGGAAGGTCAGTTAGAATATCCCTTTCAGAATTAGAATCAGTCAGAAAGTATTTGATTGCAAGTGCGATCTGTTTCGCTTATTGTTTTAAGCCACTTCATATTGAATTTGTGTGTAGACAGATCAACATCAAAGTTTATTTGAACATATGATGTACATCTTAGTACATGTTTCATGTTTTTACTAATTGTAGCTTGCACCAACATTGTTTCTATGGGTTGATTGCCATTTTTGATGTCACTGCTGTTTAGCTCAGGGAATTATGCTAAGAGTACTCAAAAGGAAAGTAAAGAAAAATGTTGACTTAGGTGTGCATATCACAATTACCATCTTGTCAACTCAGGTTAACTTTTTATTTCATGACATCTTGAAATCAAGGACTGTTATTGTGCTCACGCCGTATCATTGAATCTCATATTTACATAAAGTTTATTGGTTTCACAGGTAAAAATTTGATATTGGATTTTGCTTGGTTTAATTGATATTGGTATGTTTTTTTATATATTAAGAAATTGTGTTTTTAGTATTAATTATATTGTTGTATCATAAAATACCATTTTTTATTTTGCTCAGAACTTTGGAAGAAACTCATTATAGCTTCCTTTTTGTCTCAGGAACGGGAAGGATTAAAAGGCTGCATTCCATTAACTCTTTGTCTCCATTCTGGTTTAACTCAGTATTTAGCTGTTACGGACGAGGACGGGTATGAACCTAATACTATATTTTATCCAGTTCAAAGTGAATCTGCTCATAATCGAAGATCCATGGATGCTTTTATTTCAGGTATACGATTTTAAAATTGCTTCATACTCATATTCAAAGGTACACAAATGCTTTTATTTCTGTATTACTGCAAATTTATAATCAGAGGTACATGGGTGTTTTTATATCATATATTATTTATTTCGTACTAATTTATGTAAAAATAATTTTTTACATCATTGTAAGTTGGGTATTTCATTATTGTTGTAACATCGTGTAAAGCAGTTTGAAACAGAATATACAGAAGCCTTTTTGTCTTTAGCCTTTTTCTGAAGATTTAATGCTAAGCATAATATTTTCATTATGTAAGATATTTAAAAAAATTTCTTAACAGTATATTGTTTTGGTTTATGAAAGCAAATGTGGTGTGTAATGTTTCAAATTCAAAATTTCAGTATGTTATGCTCAATAAATAATTTCCTGACTGTGATCATTTAGGGTAATTTTTACAGGCAGTTAAGCTTTATTTTAGTAGATTATTTTTAATCAGAAAGTCTAGTTTGGTAATTAAAAATAATTTATTACATAATATTACATTTATTGTTATAACTAATCAGCTCCCCCCAAAAAACGTACAATGCAGAGTGATAAAATTTTTCTTCCAACTCCTATTTATCTAAGTAACATTTAGTGATTACCTTACCTCATAAATTGAATAAAATAAGCAGTATCATGACAAATGTTAAAAAAAATTCCTTGAACTTATGTTTTCTTTTATTTAGTAATATATTACCTTACCTCATAAATTGAATAAAATAAGCAGTATCATGACAAATGTTTAAAAAAATTCCTTGAACTTATGTTTTCTTTTCTTGAGTAATGAAGGTAAATTTTAAAGTCATTTGGGATTGTTAGAATATAACAGCATTTTTACATTCTAATACAGAGGTTCTCAACCAGTGGTACTCAACAGAAAAATAGGTTATATAAAGAAGCAAAGTATTTTTAACTATTAAATTAAAAAATTAAAACCCCAACATCCTGGTTGACTTTTTTTTTTTTCTAATATTTGTAAATTTATGAGATCTGAGCTTTGTTCAAGAGTGGTGGTGGTAGTAGTACTTTGTAGTGGTAGTACTAAAGGTTTTCAATTTTTGTGTAGATGGTATGCGTTAGCTAAAAGGTTGACAACCACTGGTCTAATAGATTTCTTTGGCTTGCGTAGATAAAGGTTTATCCATATGTTATAATGATTATTATTTAAGATTATGTTATTTGAATGTGGTAAGCCACATAGGCTGCCTAAGAGGAGGGATGCTTTCATGGAGAACTTTGTGTGAGAAATTGGCTTGTGTTCATGTTACACAGGGAGAATAACATAAAAACCAACTATTCAACCAACCTGTTCACCTTAGGTTTGAACCCAAGCCAAATTAAACTCTCAGTATCCATCAATCTTAACTACTAGGCCACTGGTGGGCCTTTAGTTTTTTTTTTTAGCCCAAAGGGGTATTAGCTCAGAAGAGCTACTAGTCTCGAAATGGAATTTTGTGTTGAATCATTATAAATGGTTGAATTACTTTTCAGATTGTTGCCACCAAATATTATCACCCTGTATTATATTTAAAGAAATTAAATAATGAAGAATCCCCACGCATATATGTATGTTTCTCGCATTGTGAAAAATGACGGTACGTAGAGCCATCAAATTTTGAATAGCGTAATCCTCCACCCGATCATGGGCACCTGGAAGCCTGAATTTTAAATTTATAATTTAATTTGTATTATTAATGACATGACTGTATCAAATGAAAATGCAGATGTTAAGTTGTTGAGTTAAGCTTATCCATAACTGGTGATGAATCAAGCTACTTGGTGACAATTTCATGGTTAATGGGATAATAAGCAAGTACTAAAAAGTAGTTTGAGAATAAAATTATTAAGATGTAAAAGTCAAGAAAACTATATGTAGAATTTAAACAGGGGAAATAAAATTATTATTGATTGGATTGGGAACTTTTGCAATGTTTAGTTAGCTACTGTTTTATTTATTACTTATATTTTAATTGATTAATATTTATTAATTATATTTTATATTTAATTAATAATATTTTTGACATTCTTTTACAGGGACATCATTTCAAGACTGGCTTTCGACTCATGCTGATCATTTAGCTAATGAAGATTATGTTATAATACAAGATCAGCCTTTTAGGTAGCATTTTACTATCAATTAGGAGTTTAAAATGCTTTCTCTGCAATTAGTAGATTTGTGTCTTTTATGCCTAAGCAAATAAATTTCTTTACTAAACATCTTCTGCTTGGTAATACTCACCAATGGGTTTTTACACTTAGTTAAAAGCTAAATGCATATATGCCAGAAGTGAAAAGTGATTTTTTTTTCCTTCCATGCTTTGAACTGATTATAACCAAAGTTTAAAAAAGTTAAAAAAAAAAAAAAAAAAAAAATTTGATATTGTTTGAATTTGCAGTTTTTAAAAATTTATCTGAAGATATTCGGAAGCCAATGTAGACATCAATTGTAATTAATTTTTTATGTTTAATAAGTCCACATAAATTAAAAAAGCTCATTATATATATATGTATATTTAAATGTGCTTTTGAATTAACAGTGTTCCACTCAGCTGGAAAAACCCTATAAAAGTTAGTGAAAAATGTAAATATTTTAAAAAATTGGGAACTTTCCTCAAAATGTCTGGGGTGTTAAAACAAACATCTTAACTGATCAACAATAAAACTGATCATAGATCATTGCTAAATCTCATAAATTGTTTTAAATAATCATGTCTTTAATATTAATATATAAACAAAAATTAGTTATCTTAAAAAGAAAGCAAATAAAGAATTCCCTCAATCTTTGTTTCTTTTGCTCAAAATGAACTCAGGTTAAAAAAAATTTACCACAGTTAGAAAAAATATAATTAAAGATTGGAAAAAAAATTTATCAACCTGTATTTGCCCTCTTTACCTGTTAATGATTCCCCCCCCTTGAGAAATGTAACTGTTTTATTACAATTTTCTGTAAAAGACTAATTCCCTTTACTAACCTTAACTAGTAATTACTTTAATTATGAAAATGAATAATAGAATTTAGAAATTATTACTTTATGCAAATGTATGTTATAATAACTAATTATGTAAATTAAAGAAAGTTTTTAATTTAGTATAATTTTTAGTTGTTCAATTTTATTACAATATTTATAATATGTATGCATGCAATATTTATTACAAATTTGCCTATACTATATATTATGAATTTCAAGGCTGAATGAATAGTTTTTTCCAGAATTTGATATTTGTTTTGAGATTTTTAGATGCATGTTTCCTTATATTTCTTTCGCTTGTTTTACAGATGAGTCAAATAAGTAAATTTTTTATAGCATTCTTTGTTGTTTTTTGTATTTTGTGGGAGATATATAGAAGTATTTGCAACTGATATTTAATTTAGTAACTACTTTATAATACTTGGTTGGTTATTTGATTATGGAAGTCGAGTGGAAGTGTCCATTAAAACTTGATCAAATGTACATTAAAAATTAAGTTTTCAATTGATTAAGTTTAATTGGAGGCAAATTGTAACGTTTCATTGTGTAAAGTCTATGTTCATTAAAAGTTAAATATCAGTGGGAGTATTCATTAAGTTTAATTTTAATTTGGTAATTAGAATGTAGGTTAAAATTTTCGTTTTTATGCTCCATTGCAGTTTTGAGAAGAATCTCGAGGACTTTGTTCATTAAAATGTTTGAAATACTGTATTCTAAAATGGTAATAAGACATAGAGTTTAAGAAACTCTGCTGGCAGACATTAAGTATTGTTACAAATTTTGTACATATATAGATGATTTTAGTGCAATTATATGTGAAATTGTATTTTCCTGTGTAGTGTAACATGAAAAATCTAAGAGAGGCAAGCTATGCCAGAATAAGAACACTGGGGCAAGTCCATTTAACATTGAGTAAATGGGTATCTCGGTAATTTGGCAAGATATCACAAAGCTGGCAATGGTTTTTGGTGACTAATTTACATTGGCAAATTTGGCAGGAAATCGCCAAAAGCCTCAAATTTGGTGAGATTTTGGTCTAGTCTCTGTATCACTGTAATAGGTATTTTAACTGAATAAATGTAATTGACCTCTGAATTAGCTGTAACGGTAATTTGACCCTCATATTGCCTTCCAGTAATTTTGAGAAATGGAAAGTACAAGAAATATCTCGGCAATTGAGTAAAAACTTGAAAACTGTATAAGGCCATAGAGAGTATCTGCTTTCAGTTGTTGTTGTAATACAGCATAAGACAGTGAGTTGTCAATGCAGCATAAGATAGATACTGATACTGAGAAGTACTGAGATATCTCGATGTTAGCTTTCTCTTCAGGTGTGCATTGCATTGTATTTGACATTCACTGTAGTTTGAAATGTAACTGCTGATTGTACTGTGTGATATTGTGAAGAGTTGTACGACTATTTCTTTGGAAAGTTCCAATTCTCTGAAGTGTTTCTTTTGATAAAAATAAATTTTATCAACCTAGCATCGTAGCAACCTAGCATGCATTCAATCTATTATGAACCTGTACACAGGTGACAGTATGATTTGAGGGAGAAATGTATTTCCAGAGTAATGAATATTTTATGTGAGTGAGAATGTGTTTAAAGGATAGTAATATTATTGTCCTCTGAAACAGGATGACACTTTTTTTTTTAATGTTAAAAATAAAATTATCTGCATTAAAGAATTATATTTTATTCTGTGTTGAGGATTGATAATTTTAGTATGATTAAATTATTTTTGTCTTTTATTACAAAATTAGTTGCATTTTTCTATATAAAAACATTTTAAGTATGTAATATTTCAGGTTTCTTCATGATCCTGCAGCAGAAGAAACAACAGGCTATATAACAGTCTCTGTTGCAACATGTTTCCTACCAGAAGTTAGCAAAATAAACCCACCAAAATTTTTTCATACTTATCGAATAACGTATGTAAATTCTGCTAACATTTTCAAAAAAGAGTATGTCTTAAAGGTTATTTTTTGTTTCTACATTTTATGTCATCAGTAGGTAAATTGATTTATGACTGCCCACGTGCAAACAATTCCTGTTGCCAGTAGTGGAGTTTCTCAAATATTCCATATTTATTAATATAATCTTTTAAGTAACAGCTGTGATTTTTTTTCATTTAATTTTATGTAAATGTGACAATATCAATAAGACAGGGAATATATTTTTATAGCTATGTAAATTATAAAAAAATAATTGTTATAAAAATATAAGCTTGAGAATGTATTATGTCACATATGTATATCTTGTAAGCACTGCTTTTATTTACATGTATCCAGAATTTCAAGATATTCCAATGTAAATTAAAATTCACTGCAAAATATTATAATTGCAAATTTTCTATTTGAAGAAACTAAATATATAGATAATGGCCAGAATGCTGAAGAGCAAATTAGAGAAAATGTGTGTATTTTGCAATCTTTGATATAATGGTACAAATAGAAATATGTGCAATAATCAAAGGAAATGTCAAATTTTGCTCACTTAGTGTATAGATCATTTAACTTCATATCTGCATATAAATAAACTAGCATGTTTAACTATTCCTTCATGATTTCAGTTTCTCTGCCCCTTTTTCTAGAAAGTAGAATTTCCTGTATTTCTAACTGAATTAAAATAAGGTAACATAAAGCTAAGGTTTGAAGTCAACCTTTTCACTATGTTAAACTGAGCTGTTGATTGCAATAAAAGCTGAAGAACCATCTACATAACAATTTGTCATTCTGATATTATAAAATCATGGTTTGGGTCAAATTTGATCCGTAAAAATGTATATAAAAGGAACTAGTGGGGCATGATGGGTATTTCTGTACTTGATAATTAATGGGACTTAATTTAAAAACCTGATAATTAATGAGAATTTGTACTTGTTCAATAGTGCTTGTATCTGTTTTTCACAGACCTAATTTTATATTGATTTTACTGCAGTATAATTCTCAACTGCAGTTTCGTGTTATTATAATAAGGGGAATGAAAATAAGCTCAGAAAGTGAATACAGCTATGTTGCAAATGCATAAAAATAAATATGAAGCTGATAATTAGTAAATGCCAAACTTTGAATTACTTCTTTATTGGAGTCCTGTTCTTAAAGTTTAGTTCCAATTTTGTGAGTTCTGTTTTTAAAACAATTGATTTTCATCAATTATTTTAAATACAGTATTCTTTCTAAGCTTCATGTGTGCATGATTGCAAACTTACTTTTGCGAAGTTCCATCAGAATTTTACCTTTCGGCATGCATTATCAATTACAAGATATTTAGATAATGTCGAATATTGAAGTCTTGTGAGTTTTTTTTTTCATCTTGGCAATACAGACATAGTGTATTCTGCTCAGTTGTTAAACAAATATTGCTAAACCATTTCTCTTTATTCCTTCCTTCCCCCCCTGGTAGTTCGGTCCGAGGTTCGAATCCCGCGAACGGGCTGGTTGCATGGGCGTTTTCGTGGTTTTCCCCATGTGTAACGTGTATACGAGCCAGTTTCCCTTAGAAAGTCCTCCACGAAGGCATCCTTCCCCTTAGGCAGATAGCCCTCGAGGCTTTGCCATAATTACACACACACACACACACCTTCCTTCCCCCCCAAAAAAAACTTTTTAAATTGGGATTTTCAGTAAATAAACTATATGTAAATTAGAGTAAATGAATAATATAACTAAAAATTTTATTTTATAATTTGGTTATTTTTATTGTTTAGTGTAAAAAATTTGGATATAATATTAATTTAATAGTAATATCACAAGCTGGTAAAATTGAAATATAATTTATGTTAAGATTTATATAATATTATTCTTAATTCAAGCCTATATTCTGTCATTTTATCTTTCCAAATGCATCATCTCTATTTCCATTTTAGATTGCTTCATATGCTTATGACTGCTGTCTATGCAGCTTCTTTAGGTTTTAGGTAAAAATGACTTTGTCCATTATACTTACAATTTAAATTACTCATTCATATTAGAAATGGCCTATGTTTGTATGAGGTTTAATTTAAGATGTTGTATTGGCACATCTTAAATTGATGCCTTGCGTCCCCCCCTCTAAACAACTGAGCAGTATAGAAGTGCACAGCATATGGCTATATGTAGTATTATTTGTTAATGCACAGGTATACATCCTGAAATAACAAGTACATATTATAAATATATATATTTCAGATTATCTTTGTAAACATTTTTTTACAGTTAGAATGACCTGGAAAACATAAGTAACAGTTCAGAAATTCAAAATACTATTTTGAATATATATTTTTATAAAATATTCTGAAATTTTAAAGCAAAATGCAGTGCTGTTCAAAGAGAACCTGTTGGCAGTCATGCGAAGTAAAGTTGCAAGGTCACTTTTCATATTTTTTAAATTTATCTGATTATATTGATCTAGCTTGATATCTAAAAATTGTTTCAAAATGTGAAAAGCAGAAAAATATACATCAGAAAATGTATGATCAATAATTACTAAAACAGGAATAATACGTTTTTAAAATTTTTTAATAGGCTGCTGAAAAGGACTTGTGGTTTTCATGTAATTACCATGCAAAATGCCAGTTGGTAAAATCTCTTTTATAATCTGAAGCAGGGGTTCTCAACCGGTGGTATGTATAACAATATTGGTACACAAAGAAGCAAAGTATTTTTAACTATTGAATTCAAAATTTAAAACCCAAACATCCAGATTGAGTTTTTTCTCTAACAATCGTAAATTTATGTGATCTGAGCTTTGTTCAAGAGTGGTGGTAGTACTTTGTAGTGGTGGTACTACAGGTTTTCAATTTTTATTTAGATGTTACGCGTTATTCAAAAGTTTGAGAACCGCTGAATTAACAGATTAAGTCAAAACACTTGAGGGCTATCTGCTTAAAGGGCCGTTCCCACTGGGGTGTATTTGAGCTAACGGAGTCAGTCCCCTGTGTCGACTAGCTCTGCTATGCCTGCAGTTCAGATTTTTCAACTTGCTGCCCTATGGGAAAAAAACTGGTTTTGGAGATGGGTCAGCTATGTCAGTTGCATTCGTTAGCTCAGATAAACCCCAGTGGGAACGGTCCATAAGAGGGGAGATGCCTTTGTGGAGGACTTTGAAAGAGAACTGGTTCATATTCATGATAGACATAGGGAAAATTAAGAATACTTCCTTGCACCTAGCCTATTCATTAGGATCTGAACATATGTGAGACTACTTGTATTCAATGATCTTGCCACTTGACTGCTGATGGGGAAAGGATGTAGCCAATTTTGTTGTAGAGATAATTATGCAAATCTATAATGTTATTTCTCTCAGAAGTATCATATAGAGTCTCATGAAAATGTTTTGTGATTATTAGTTATTTATTATTATTATAATTTCATTTATTAATGTATTTAATATAGCAAAATGTTTTGTAATAATTATTAAAAATTTGAAAATTTTAGTATGACTATGTCACCTGATGCTCCTCAGTCAGAGAGCTGCCAGTTAGAAACTAGGCATTGGATTATAACTGATGACAATGGCAGTGAAGAACAAGTGGATGGACCAGGTGTTGTAGGTGAATACCCTGTCATGTATCCAGGTGCTTCATTTTCCTGGGTTAGTAGCACCAGTTTCAGCACGACATATGGAAACATGAAAGGTTGCTTTAGGATGAGAAATTTACAAACAAGTAAGTCACAGACTTTTAATTGGTATTTATGATAGTATTATTCAATTACATTTGTTAGGGAATAAATATGTGCATTATAGGAAAAGTTGCTTCCACTAGTTATATGCATGTATTTCATAATTTTTTAAATCTGACCCCCCCCCCCCCCCCCCACACACACACTTTGTAGTTTAGATGATAGTGAACAATTTTTTTATTAGTTTTAAACAAATTCTTTATTTCCATTTATTTTCAAAAAAAAAAAAAAAAAAAAAGAGAGAGAGAGAGAGAGAAAAGAAAAAGAAAGTTGTTTGTAATACACTTGTGTTCAAAATTATCTTTGCATGCATGAAATCATGGATTTCTCCAAAACTGTAAATTATAATTTTATGAATTTTCATGGACATATACCTAGCATCATAATACATAAATAAAAAGGAAAAATTTAAGAACACTTCATATGATATAAAACTGTAGAACAAAACAAAACAAAAGATTATAAGAATATGGATAAGAATTCAGGGAAAAAGAAAGCAATAAATAAATAAAAAAATAATAATGAAGAATTTGATCTCTCCTGACATGTACACACATATCTCAATATATTTTCATATTAGCAATAAAGTTAGTAATCACAACTTGGGTATTCAACTTCCACTCTTTCTGCAATGCTGTCTTCTGGGCATTTACATTTCTAGGAGGAGGATTTCTCCACGCAGTTGCTTTTCCAAGGTAATTTCGTATATATTCTGTATCAGCTTAAGATCAGGAGATTTTCCTGGTCTAGGTAAATTGCTCATCTTCGCTTTCAAGGAATTCATCAATGAGGTTTGCTCATCCTTCGGCATCCTTAAATGAAAAGTCAGATCTACAAGCACCTGTAAAAAGTTTTACATAATGTTCTAAGACCTCATCCCAATACTTGTGGCTGGTCACAGATCCACTGTTGAAAATGTGTAAGGGCGTACGTTCATTGATAGTTATTCTTTCTTATGCCATCATACCTGCAATACCGAAATAGTTGCATTCAAAGGCAGTAAAATGTAGAAATTAGCATAAGTGCAGGATACAGCAAGATGTGTTGTGTTTATGCAAATTTCGGATTGCTGATGCTGTTCATCACATGATGTGCAGATAAAAGAGATAAAGGTTTTGACACATATTGACCTCTTTGTTCAATAGCAAAATTTAACTGAAAAGAATCAATTGATGAAATTTCAATTTTCAGTATGTCTTCCCAACATTACATAGATGATTTTACGGGTAGCCATATTATTGGCAACATTGAAGAAGGGCAAAAAATAATAGATGCTGCTAGGGAGTTTGAGGTCAGCCACATTGTTGTTTCAAGGCTTTGGAAATCATTTCACGCAAATGAAATTTATAACAAATGTCATGCGAGAGGTTGTGTTTGCAATGTCATGTCTGCAGAAGATAGGTACATAGTGCCATCGACAAAAAGGACAGTTACTTGCAAAACAAATCTTCCGAAAAAGTGTAAGCAGATGTTTCTGTTTTCTGTACACTCACCATCCTGTTTGTGCATTCCATTGCTCAGACAGCAACTTACTGCCCATTTGCAATGGTATTAAAAGCATTGTAATTGGACTTAACAGAACTGGGTTTTGTGTACTTTTCTTAAACGAAAGTAGGTTCTATCTGTTACTGGATTATAGATGCCAAATGATCTGACTTGAGAGTGGTACTGTTTATCATTCAGAAAATATGCAGAAAATGATTGGTATCCGAAATGCAGTATCATGGTACGGGCTGGCACTATGATCAGTGGCCACATACCCTTGCATATGGTTGCAACTAGGATGTCCTGTTGACTCAAGTTTGCATGTTCGTATGGCCGATTCTATCATGGCCTTGAAACAAAATCAGTTTCGGGAGGTCACGTGATCAGAATAGTCGATCTTTTTCTCTTCATTATAATCGAGAAGTTTAACTTGCCGAAAATAATAGTTTTCTCTTAAAATAAATATAAGTAAAATTAATAAACGTGAGTAGGTCATATGACTTGCATTAAATTTTTCATTGTGTAATATTTTCACAGGTGGTAAAATGCATATCTTCAATAATTTTTAAAACAATTGTACTTTGTTTATGTAACTAAAAATTTCATTGAGAATCACCACATACAAACTTTATTTCTGCAATTTTAATAAAAATGGAATCCATTTATGTAATCTAAATAAAAAATGTTCCCAAAATAATATAAAATCCACAAAAGGGGAAAAATTCAATAGACTTATGGATGTAAATTTTATTTAGATTTTCTTAATACTAAAATAAATATTAAGGCCAGAATATTTTGTAAAAATCCATGTCACTACCATCGTATCAGCTGTATAAATTTTTAGAAGGCAAATATTCATTCACTAATAAAAACTTGGGTATCACAATTTTGTCAAAACTGGGAAATGAATTAAAAATTCCTTAAATGGTAGAAAATTTGTGTATGAAGATAAACTTACATGCATGTTATGCTATAAATAAATCTTTCAAGAAAATTTCAAAAAATTAAATGCTAATTACATTCATAAAAAGGAGAGCCTTCGATTTGTGCCAGCTCCAATTTTATGTTGTATCACTTTTTCCAAACCACGTAAGAGGTAAGTGATTAGGTTTTTTTTTTTTTTTTTTTTTTTTTTTTTTTTTTAAAGTTGTATTCCCAAATTACAGGCCTATTCCTTTATAAAAAATAGATTCATAAAACTTGGAGCTGTACCATATACACACATCCTACATATTATACATAATTTATGCAGAAGCATATATAAAAATAAACTTGTGACTTATTAATTGAAATTAATTGGTAAATTTTTTAACTTTTTTATATGAACATTTTATATTAATTTTGTCATTTTTATATTTTGTATAATTATTTAACAAGTTTTTACAAGTTATCAAACAGGTATTTTCTAACCGAGTTTGCAAAGTCATTCCACAAGTGCAAGAATCTGTTAAGTTAAAGTTAATTCGACCTAACTGTATGCAAGATATCTTATATAAAATACCCAATTGCTTCCCTTATATAAGAAATGTATCTTCCATGTTTTTAGGAATTTCACCAAATAAGAAATGTACAATTGAAGATGTTAGTAAAGCAACTTCAAAATGTTAATTTAATTTTAAAAACTAAATGTAAAGTTAATTTTCCCCTTCTAATTCTTTAAGGAAACCAAAAATATCATCTGCTAAATCTACCGAATGAACACTTTGCAACCAATCCTGCAAATACTCATTTTACAAAACACCCTTGTCTTCATGAAGCATAACCTGAACATAACTAGCATGATAAAATATCAGAAGGAACATTTTCTATAGAAAAATCATTAATTAGTAAATTTGAATATCATCATATTCACAAAGGTAAGATTTATATAGCCTTATCGTACTTGTAAAAGAGACATTAAGGGACATGATATTAATGATCAAATTGTAATATTACTTTTCAAAACGAGTCTTCTCACTTTCTAATATTATCCGATTTCATCAAAATGCTTTAACTATTACGGGTTTTTAATTTACTTAAATCTTGGGAATTTTCCTTAACCATCAGCTCTTCTTTAGGTGATTTAGGTAAAGAATAAGTAGTGACATTCTCGTTTTTGTCGTAATTGGATTGTAACCCAAACCACTGCAGAAATATGTTTTAGAAAGACATAATCAAAATAAGAATTTGATGGTAGTATACAACAAAATACTCCAAATACTACGCAAAATATTAACTAGAGTAAATGTATTCAATGCTAAAACGAAACACTTGGAGGTGAGAACAGCTACAAATTTTCCCAAACAAATCAAAATTAAAAAGAATAAACCGAAATATAGATAAACTATATTTACCATTGCATAAAGCTTAGGTTATTAAAGCACTTAGAATAGCAAAATAATCCACTTATAACACTATTGGCATAATATATATCCAAAAAATTCACGACCACGGGTTCGCAATCACACACTACCACAAAAGCACATTGACCATCTGGATCACATGTTTTTTGCACTTCAAGGCCATTATAGAGTTGGCTGTGGCATGTTCCATGGTACTGTTGGTGATAAATTTGTTTTCATGGATGACAACGCAACATGTCATTGAACAGTTGCTGTCCAGGAGTGTCTAGAAAGCAAGGATACTTAACACCTCATATGGCCAGTATGTTTTCCAAATCTGAATCCCATTCAAAATGTTTGGGATGCTTTGGAGAGGAGTCTTGCCCTCCAGTAATCAAGTAATCAATGCCCTCCAGTAATCAAGAGCACTCTCATGCGTGCACAACAGAGGAGTGTGATAAATTACTCCATCATTTTCCAAAAACTGTTGTGCAAAGTGAGTGCTATAGCTAGGGAGGGTCAAAGAGGATCATCTATCCCCGGGATGCAGCATCTAGGGGGCGCCAAATTGATGTCAAAGAATTTTAGAATGCAATGTTTTCCATTCTTGGTACATAGAAAGGGACACAAAATCTTCAGTTATCCCTGGGCACTGAAAATCATAGCTACACTTCTGTGCAAAGTATGACATGATGTGTGGAATCTTACATCGCCCTCCATGGTGACCATGTCCCGAACTAACATCTTACACCAGAATGCCTGCTGACAGTAACTGCATTTTTTTTCACTTTAACATGTTCAACACAATATGACCATTTTGTCCCTTGAATACTTCAAGCATCCTAGATTTCAGAGCACAATAAATTGTCTTTGTTGTTATGTCCTAGTATTCTGGTTTTATTTTATTTCACTTGGCATCCAAATAAGCTTACTCGTAACAAGGACATCCTCATACATGCACAAGAGAGGAATGGGATAAATCACCTTAACAGTTGTTGGATAATATTGTGCAAAGTATGACATGATGTGTGGAATCTCACATCACCCTCCATGGTGACCATATCCTGAATTGACATCTTATGGCAGAATGCCTCCTGACAGTAACTGCATTTTTTTTCACTTTTATGTCAGCATAATATGACCATTTTGTCCTTGAACACTTTTCAAAGCCATCTAGATTTCTGAGCACAATAAATTGTCTGTATTGTTATGTCCTATTATTCTAGCATAATTTTATTTCACTTGGCATCCAAACAAGCTTACTTTTTAATGCACTAGGTGTTTATGATCCATCCTTAGCAATTGCTCACCGGTATATATATATATATATAATATTGTAATGTGAAACTAGTTTTCTATGAGAACTGATCAAATGCATAAGAGCTATTAATGTATATTAGTATTTGTAATTCTGTTCGTGTTTGACGTACTTTCATTCTAAAAAATAAATTTGCATTTTGAAATTTAACCTTCATATCAGAATTCTAAATATCAAATCTTATGTATAGTAATATAGCATCACAAGTTTTGTACTTTAATTTGGGTAATTGATTGCTATAAATACTGAAAGCAGTTTTAAAAGTAAAAGGCTCAAGAACTTTGTTTATGTAAAATGTGATACTAATTAATAGTTCTTTCAGAGATTTGAAATATGTTCAGAAAATGTTACAAAGGCATTCTTTTGTGAAGATAATTAACTGTGGATAGTTATCTAATAATGTATCCTCATTTAACCATGTAATTAGCTGAAATGCTTTACTGTTTAACCAAACTGTCTAAACACACTGGTGAACTTCAAGTATGTTCTTTCACATTTATTAATAATTTATCTCACAACTCAGTCAGATAGGATACCCTGTATGGTTACTTTTAGTTCAGATTGTAAAAATCAGAAGCATCATGCTTCATTTCTGGGGCGATTACACCTCTTCTCACAATGATTCAAAACAAAACTAATAAATTGAGAAAAAATTCTTAAAGACTTCTTTTTTGTCAGGGAATAGAAATTCTGTGTTGAAATTTCCACTCCTGATGTATTGTCACTCTTGAAATACTCATAGGAAGGATGAGTACATATACTGTGAAATTTACACAGAAAATACTGCAACTATCAAAATATGTAAAATTCAGAATGAAAACATATTACTTAACGAAATGCATAAGATTAAAGAAAAGTTCATGACTCAAAATTTAAGTTGAAAAGCTTATTAAGTTCGCTTAGTTCAAAAAATTCATAATTGTTTTAAGCTAGGTTATTGGTTGACAGATAAATCTTTGCTGTTAAATATTTCAATATTTCTTTTTCATTTTGCATATCCACCACATGCATGTTATTGTCCTTATTAGGGTATGTTTTTATATCAGCTTGCCCGTATAGGAGGTAAGTTTTTATACTTTATTAACACAATATCTCCTGATTCTAGATTTCTTACAACCTTATGCCATTTGGTTTAGGATTACAGTTTGACAGGCATTCAGAGATTCCTCTTCCAAAAATGTTCAAACATTAATCGTACTGTTTTCCTATCATTCCAATTGTCATTGAGGAGATTTTGTTCAGGCACAAAATCACTGCAATTCCTATAATGTATAGGAAGGAGAACAATGTGAAGTACATTGTTAAATAAAGTGTCTGTAAATGTCGTGGAGTGAGAATAAAAAGATCATTATGATTATTTGGTAAAGCAAAGTGGTCTAAAATTAAGACAGATCTTCTTCTGCATTATCAGTGTTGCACGTTTTTTACATGTAAGACTTTCGTTGCCTGCTATACATTTTAAATGAAAAGTTTAGGGATCTAATTTCTGTCTGTCATAAACAACTAAAATAGGGTGCTGAAAGTTTATGTGTATTTTCAGAAGTTTGTTTTTTGTTAAATATGTATTGGTTTTTCTGTGCAGGTGAAAGAAGTGAAGTTCAGTGTCCTATTTTCCATATGAAGTGTCAGCCATATATAACTGGAGAAGAACGTGAAGCAGCAAAGAAAAGAAAAAGAGAACAAATGAAGAACAGTGCTACATGAATATATATATAATATATTTTTTTAATGTGAAAAAGCTGATGATCATTTGTATATTAAGATATTTTTTAACTTCTCATGTACAAATATTTTATTTATGTATTTTACATATGTAATTATGCAGAAACATGCAAGAATATTACATATGTAAGAATTCATATGTATGGATATAATTCACATAATTCAATATGTATGGAAAAAATAGTTATTTTCTGTTGAGTATCAGTTTTCATTGAACTAAAGTATAAGAATTAGACTTAAACATACTTTAAATTATTATGCTCATACTCTTGTATACTTTTTTTAAAGAATATGAGTATAATAAGTGTTATTATTTCAAAATTTGTGCAGCTATTAATTATTCTGATATTACCTGTATTAAATTTCATAGTCAGCAGAAGAAATGATACTATGAGATGAAATTGAATAGAAATATTATTTGCTTATTCAAATGAATTCAGAAAATCAATGTACTTTAGAATACATTTACTCTTATTTCAGATTTACCATTCATAGTGACATTTTTATATATAAACTTCTGGTTTAATTATACTACTTGTGATACATATTTATGATGAGTATAAATGCATCAGATGAAAAGGTGACATAGGAATTTTATAGAATGTCATTTGAAAACTCCATTTTTATTATATAAAAATGTTTAAGTAATTTTTCAGAGGACACCCCTCCCAAATTTTTACATTAGTATGTTTACACCATGAACAACAGAAAAATAGACATCAAAATGTTTTTCCCAGATTAATAAGTAAAATCCTTTTGAAGATAAATATCAAATATGCACTTTGCCTTATTTTAAAATAACTTTTTGGCCATGAAATGAGGAAAAAAGTGGGAAAAGAAAACTTAATATAAACTTACATTATGTTGTTAGTACATGTTCTTTCTTTTCCAGGCTTGTTTCAAGTGTCTCATAATATAAACTTGTTATGCCTGATATCATTGATACAACCATATTTACTTGTTATGACTGATCAAAATTTAAGTAATGATTATTTGGAGTACTGAGGCAACTAGAATCAGTATAATGTTCCTAAATTTGCATTTCTGTTGCTGGGAAAAAAAAAAAAAAAAAAAAAAAAAATCCTATATTTAAACCTTCTTCAAAACTACTCCTGCAAATTAGCACCTGCAGTGCATTTTAAACAGATTTTTAAAATGAGAACAAAATTGGCATTTTACTAAAATGATAATTTTAATTATAAAATAATATTGTTCAGAACTGTCCAGAATTTTTTTTTTTTTTTTTTTTTTTTTTTTTTTACCTAAATTAGCATAACTATCCAGATGTTCTTGTAGTTATTTCCTAATTACATGTTACCTATATTCTTAGCATGCATATCATTGATAAGTACTCATAATGTAAATATAGTTGCCTAAAATAGGTTTTAGGTTTTAAGCTGAAAGTATCAGATAATACTAATATTAAGAATGATTTTTTTAACTACCAGTTGTGTCTTAATTATAATAAATGTTATATAAAATGGTACTTATAAATTCCATCCATTAAAAAGTTCAAACCCATTGGTAATAGAAAATCAATGGAATGATCATACTGTTATTTTCTTTGGCAATAATTTGATATATAATTGTTTTATGTTATTTTTGAAGTCATCTGTTAAATGTGGTAAATTTCTGTGGTATATAACCACGGAAATCTCCCTTGCCGTATAATTCATTTCAGAATAAGCTTATTTGCATAAAAATCAATTCATCATTTTTAATTAAATCCTTTTCTGATTATGAGGTAAAATTTGATGTAAAATTGACTATAGTTTTACAGAAATAAAACTTTCTGCTGATGAGAAACACTGACTCAGAGGCCTCCTTCTCCAAGGGGCAAATATTTTCTGAATTACCTGTTAATCTTACTCAGTATGCATAGAACTGTTCTGTAAAATCAATATCAATATAAGTTTTAGTTTTTCCTAATCCTTAATTTCAATTTGATGTGCTTCTCTTCAAATGCCATTAATCACCATTAATTTGTATTCTTTTAAGTAGCATTCACATATAAGATTCTTGTAAACTTCATTCATTTATAGTGCTATCAATAATTCATGCAAATAATTTTCTATTATGTTTTTCCCTTTTTAATGAAATAAGAAAGGGCAATATAGAGACAACTACAGATATAGTTTGTAATATTCATAGTGTAACATAAAATGCAAAATAAAATTCATTTTTAAAATGCTTTTTTAAGTATGTAGTGTATTCTTCCACATTTAAGTAAGTATTTTATTAAGTTTCTATTTTGTATTGTAAGAACAGTTTTCTAAGCAAGTTGATTAACTCTCTGTTTTAGAAATACTCATACCTTGTCATATTGCTTATTCCATCCCTTATTCTTTAGGATGGCTGTATGAAAAATGACTGCAATACTGATATTTAAATATAACAATGAAATCAGCATTCAAATAACCTGCTTGACTTATTAAGAGTTACATTATTGTTGAAAAGAATCAAAATATTATTAACAAGCATAATGGGTGGACTGTTGGTAAACACTGGATGTGGTTATTCATAAATAAATTATGCAACTGATGTGAAATTTTATTGTACTGAAATAGAGGCCAATTCATTAAGTCATGTTTTATACATTTCAGAAATGCTCAGTATGCTGTAGAAACTGTATTGCACCAGATGGCGCTGTGTGCGCTTGAATGCCTTGGACTAGTGCAGAACTTTGAGGATTGCGAGAGATGTAACACGAACGCGAAACATTAACTAAAGTTTATATGTGCCTCTCTTTGTTGTAAATGTATTTAATTGTGTCGTCAATAAAAATTTAGAGAAAATGAAAAAGGCGAGAATGCGTCTGACAGGTAAGCGAAATTTCTTTATAATTTATTATCGAGTTTTAGCGACAAAGAATGTATATGCGTATTTACATATCTTTGGTGCCGAAACCCGGGAGTGACCTTTAGCAAAAGTAAATTGCGAATTGAATACTGAAAAACATATTTAGCGAATTGAATAATTTAAATTGTTATGATGGATATTGAAGCTTTAAAAAAGATTAGAGCACCTGTCAGACGCGCGGCAACTGACACTATGAAATTGTTAGAAACTGAAATAAACAAACAGGAAAGATCAGTTGATTTAATTCATGAATTTTTAGCGAAACTTTTAGATAAAGAAGCTAATTTAAAGTATCTTAACGAGGAAATTCTAAAAAACTGTGCAAAACGGAAGAAATTGAAAAACAGCAAGAATATAATGATAATATCATTACTTGGAAAATTCGCGCGAATAGAATCCTTAAAACGAAAGAAAGCGAAGTTGTTCGCGCAACTGAAAGAACGAATGTTGTAGAAACCAGAAGTGAGCAGCGGAATACAGTAAAACTTCCTCGCTTGCAGATAATTCAATACGATGGCAATATATTAAGGTTTAACGAATTTTATTCTCAGTTTGAAGAAGTTATCCATAAAAATGTGAATCTTAGTAATGTAGAGAAGTTTAGTTATTTAAAATCGTACTTAACAGACGAAGCTGAGGTAGCTTTACGTGGTTTAACATTAAGCTCTGAAAACTATGAAATTGCCTTGAACATATTAAAAGAACGCTTTGGTCGAAAAGATATTATTATAGATGCGCATATGGCAAGACTTTTAAACTTAAGTCCAGTACGAAAATCAAATGAAACTGTAGCGTTGCGTAGACTTTACTCAGAATGCGAAACACATATTCGAGGATTAGAAAATAACGGAATTAACCCTAATAGTTACAGTTGCCTACTGTATTCAGTGTTGTTAAAATCGATACCCAAAGGTTTGTCTTTAGAATTTTCTCGTAAAACACATTCGAAAGATGCCAACAAAATATCTGATTTATTGGAATTTTTAGATTTGAAATTCAGTGTCGTGAACGTAACGAGTACTTAAGTAGAGACTTTTAATTTAAACACTTCAGATTCGCGATTGGAAACTAAATTTGATCCTTTACAAAAACCTAATCAAAAGTATGAGAGATTTAATAAAACCAAAGTTGATCTAGCGGGAAAAATAAATTCGAACATTCCTATTACTTCTGCATTTTTATTGTTGATGTGAAAAATGTATATTTTGTACAAAACCGAAAATGGAGCACGATTCTACCTCTTGTCCCTTATCGGTAGAACAGAGAAAATTAGTTCTTAGAAAATATGGTATATGTTATGCCTGTTTTTCGAAGGGGCACGTACATAAGCAGTGTAAAGCAAAAACTATTTGTGGAATTTGTAAACGTTTTATGCATCACGAATTGATTTGCGATCAACCCAATGTTTATTCTTCTTCCCCCGCTCTGGAGTCTCGTCAGACCGTCGACGCGAATAAATTAAATGTTGTGTCTTCCGTAGCATGTGTGAATGAATCAGATGATTGCGACATACTACTTGAAACTTGCTCGGCAGTAATAAAAGTAAAAAGATTAATATTTTGTTAGATAATGCATCACAGAGATGTTTTTTTTAAAAAGAATTAGCTGTAGAAATGAAACTACCCATTATTAGACAAGAAAGTCTAGCTGTTTACACCTTCGGCTCTAGAGTGCCAATACAAAAAACGTATGACGTAGTTCGGTTTACACTTTGTAATTTATGTGATTCGGACAAGAAAATAACGATTGAAGCACTTTTGACTGACTGTATTTCTGGATCGCAGTTTAAAGTATCACATAACAAATTAATGCAAATACTTTCGAGGAAAAACATTCAATTGTCAAACTTAAGTAAATCGTCAGGAAATGAATTGTCTCTGCTTATTGGAGCACAGTATTTTTGGGATATTCATACGGGAGAAAAACAGCGATTAAACAAATCTTTGTATTTGATTGATACTCTGTTTGGAAGGGTTGTTCAAGGTCGAATCCCTCCATCAGATTTAAATGCGAATCGGGATATTTCTATTATGAAAATTGAATGTTGCGCCGCATTAAATGAAAAACTAACGCAATTTTGGCAGTTAGATTCAATGGGGATAAATGATACAGTGGAGATTTCAAATTTAATGAGGAATTTATTTCTCAATTCGAAAGTAATTTAAAATATGAAAATGGAATGTATACAACTAAATTATTCTGGGACGGTAAACCAGAAAACTTGTCTAACAATTTCGCGGTAGCAAAACGAAGATTTCGTAACTTAAGTGTAAAAATGAAAGAAAATGATTGGGTATATAAGAATAATATAAGACGAATATAAGAATATAGTTAAGCAGCAATTAAAACTGAATATCGTTGAAGAATGTCCTTTCGGCTTAGAAGAGAATTCTTATTATATGCCTCATTCAGCTGTAGTAAGATCGGATAGGGACACTACGAAAGTCAGATTGGTTTTCGATGCATCGTCAAAAGGTAATGGGTGCAAATCTCTTAATGAATGCTTGAATCCTGGGCCACCGTTGAATCCCAGAATTTTGGATGTAATCTTGCGATTTCGCGAATATGAATATGCATTCAGCTGTGATATTCAGGGAGCATTTTTTGACCATAGGAATAGCGGAAGAGGATAGAGACTATTTACGTTTTTTCTGGTTTCCAGATGAAAGTGATTCAAAAACTTACAAAGATTTTACGAATGACTCGCGTTCCCTTTGGAGTGACATCAAGCCCATTTATCCTTGCTGCGACTATTAAATACCACATTAGAAAATATAAACTTGAACAAAGCGAAACTTGTGAAATGCTTGACTCGGCACTTTATGTAGATGATCTTTTTTACGGAGCAAATACAATAGAGAAAACTTTAGAACTTTCACAGAGCGCTGTAAAAATTCTTAAAGATGCGAACATGAATTTAAGAAAATTTAATACTAATTCGGATGAGTTGAGAAATTTATGGAGTGAACGAGGTTTGTCTGATGTGACAGAAACTAAAGAACGTCCTTTGAAGGTTTTAGGCATAATATGGAACACCGAAGAAGATACTTTTAAGTTAGATGTAAAACCTCTACTGGACATGATCTGTGATAGGAAGAATTCAAAACGTAGTGTACTTCAGACAGCTTCGAAGTTATTTGATCCTATGGGAATTGCATCACCTTTTATTGTTCTCATAAAATTATTAATGCAAGAAATATGGGAACTTGGTTTAGGATGGGATGATGAGCTATCAACTGACTTGAAGAAAAAATGGGATAATTGGTGCTCTCAGATTTATCTGTTGAAAGATTTGACAATCGAAAGAAAATATTTCTCCATACCATGGAAGTTGGTGAAAGAATTAGAACTACATATATTTTCTGACGCTTCTCCTAAAGCTTTCGGAGCAGTTGCGTACTTCCGTTACGTGTCAAGTGATGATTGTATTTATACAAGTTTTATCACTGCGAAATCTAGAATCGCACCGCTTAAAAGGTTGACATTACCGAGGCTTGAACTTATGGGAGCTGTTATTTCTTCTAGACTTTTCCAATATTTGAAAACAAATTTTAAATTTCCTGTGTCCTAGGGTATATATGGGGACAGATTCCTTAATCGCTCTTCATTGGATTAAAGGGAAAGCTTCAAAATGGAAACCTTTTGTATCGAACCGTGTATCCGAAATCCAGTCTAGAACTGATCCTGCTGATTGGAATCACTGTAGTGGGCAGGATAATCCTGCAGATTTCATATCTCGAGGAGCTACCGTGGAAAGTTTATGTCCAGTTCGATTTGGATGCAAGGTCCAGAATGGCTTCGGTTGAAGAAAAGGGATTGGCCAAAAGGCTCTAATTATGAAATTTGTCTAGAGATTTCTCCAGAAGTATATTGCGAAAAAAGAAGTAAACTGGAAGAAGTATCGTCTTTTGTGTGCGAAGTGCAATCGAATTTGACACATTTAATGGATTTGAATAGATATAGTAGTTTAAGAAAATTATACCGTGTTACAAGTTGGATACTATGATTTATATACAACCTTAAATTTAAAACTAAACGATGTGGTGAATTAAGCACTGAAGAACTTAATGAGGCTGAAATTAGCTGGACAAAAACTGTTCAAAGTGAAGCTTTTGCGGAAGAGCTGTCCTCTTTAAGACAGAGTAAAAAAATTTCTAAGACTTCTATTCTAGAACTGAATCCCTTTCTTAATAATGACGGGATAATGCATGTTGGTGGAAGACTTCAGAAGTCAAGACTTTCTTACCTTCAAAGACACCCAGTTATTATGCCCTCAAAACATTACTTTGTGAATTTAACCGTATTACTACGAGTAATACTAACTGACTTTCAA